TGACTTCCCTAAAAAGACACAAGGACTTGAGCCCGACGGCACTAAGCCATAAGCTGAAAAAAACAAGATGCAGCAACTCGGGGAAGGCAGAAAAAAGAGAGACCGAGGGAAAAAGTCATGCGGCATCAACAAAGGGTGAAGGATGGAGGGCAAGGGGAGGCGGGTGGGCAGACGGACAGCATGCCACAAGGCAAACAGCACAAGGCAGTAAAGCATATAGGCTGGAGGGCATGGGGGAGGCAGGTGGGCAGGCAAACGGCACAAAACAACAAAGCACACAGGGTGAAAGGCAAGGGGTAGACCGATGGGCAAGCAAACAGCGTAAGGCAGTGAGGGAAACAACAGCAAGGCAAACGACAACAATGTAAAAACAACACCCCAAAAAAATACAAGTATAAACAAGGCAAAGACTGAAAGAAAGAAAAAAAAACAGATGATGAAAGATTGTTTCGTCGGAGTTGCACCGACTCATCAGGAGGCTGAACCGTCGACAATCTGCGGAATCCCCGTATGTGATGGTTTGGGTCATGAACCCTTTGACCCTTGTTGAAGGCAGACTGTCCCCAAGAGGAACATAGCAGCGGGCAGCAACCCTGTGAAGCACCAGGCAACACAGTAGAGGCAACACGGCTGCACAACGCCAAAAACGACTGCGAGGAACGACACGGCACACCGAACTCGCAGCAGGGCACCCAAGCAGTGAAGCACCAGGCAACACTACCAAGACAACCACACTGCAAGGGACGAGAGGGCAAGTGAACAAGCAGCAGAGCGACCATGCTGAGGGGCACAAGGCAACCTCAACACGGCAACCAAACTACAGGGCGCGCGAGCAAAGAACCCAGAAGGCACGACCAGCGGACGGGCGGCAAGGCAGCGAAGCAGCAAAGCACAAGGCAGCACCACAACCCAGCCACACCACACAGCGAAGACAGCATGCCAAGAACAACCTGCGAGGCAAGCGGAACGGGCAGCAAGGCAGTGGTGGAGCGCAGACGGGGTCGTCCACACATCCAACACGGAGCAAAGCAGCACATCACCTATCACATCACGGGTGAACCACACAGACTGTTGGTTCCCACCACCCACTGAGCCAGGAAGACACTCCGACGAGCATCCGTCATCACCTACAGGCAACACAGACATCCCGAACCAAGCGCCCCCCTAAGAGTGCAGTTGGCACTCCAAACGAGGAACCACCGACTGTTTGGCACTACCTAAGGGTGCTCAGTCGGGCACACAAAAAAACTTAGAAAAAATCAGAAAGAGGACAAACAACA